GCGTTCCGTGTCTGGGGATCTCGGGCGTTTGTCCGCGACTTGTCTGCGGACAAGCTGTCCCCTCGTGCTGCTCCTTGCGTCTTCCTTGGCTTCCCCCCTGACGCGCCAGGGTGGCAGTTCTACCACCCCACCTCTCGCCGTGTTCTGTCCTCCCAGGACGTCACGTTTGACGAGTCGGTCCCCTACTACCACCTCTTCCCCTACCGCACTCCGTCCCTCCCCCGCCACCGCTCTTCCTTGTACCAGGTCCCCCCCCGGTAGACCCCCTCCCCCCTCAGGGTCCTGCCCCTTCAGGTGTGTCCCAGGTAGACGCAGTCGAGCCTGTCGAGGTTACTGGTGACTCTGGTGCTGCTGAGGGTGCTGAGCCTGGGGGTGCTGACTCTGGGGGTGCTGAGCGTGTGGGTGCTACGCCTGGGGGTGCTGAGCCTGAGGGTGCTACTACTGGGGGTCCTGAGCCTGGGGGTGCTGAGCCTGGGGGTGCTACTACTGGGGGTGCTGAGCCTGGGGGTGCTGAGCCTGGGGGTGCTACGCCTGGGGGTGCTGAGCCTGGGGGTGCCACGCCTGGAGGTGCTGAGCTTGGGGGTGCGGAGCCTGAGGGAGCTGGGCCTGCTCGTGTGGCGTCTGACGGTGCTGAGCCTGGAGGTTCTCCGGGTGCTTCGTCTCGGCGGGAGCCACTCTCTCCACAGGAGCTGCTCGAGTGGTTTGCCCGGCGCTGGAGGCGTGCTGCTGGAGCTGGAGGTTCGTCGGCTGCTGAGGGTGCTGGTGCCGCGGGTCCCGGAGGTGCTTGTACTGGGAGTACTGGAGCTGCTGGGCCTGCGGGTACGACTGGAGCTGGAGCTGCTGAGGGTGTTGGCGCTGAGGCTACTGCTGTCGGTCCTGGAGGCGGTCCTGCTGGGGGTGCTACTGGTGCTGCTGGAGGTACTGGAGCTGGAGGTGCTGCTGGCACTGGTGCTGCCGCTGGGGGTACTGGTGCTGTCCCTGCTGTGTCTGGAGTCGCCGCGCGGCCTCGGCCGTACTTCGTTCCGCTCCTTCAGCAGGTTCTTGGTCTCCCGCCTTCTACTGGTCCTCCTCCTCCCTTAGAGTGTCCACAGCCTGTCCCGTCACAGTTACAGTTACAGCCGGCCTCCCCACTGCCCGCTCCTTTTCCCTACACTGGTCCTACTGGAGGTCTTGCTGAGCGTCGTGAGCCTGCGTCTCGCCCTGCGTCGCCTGTCCGTGCTGCTCGCACTAGTGGCCGTGGTTCGCGTCAGCGTCCTCCTCCTGTCCCTGGCACGCACCGGATGTCTCTGCGTCCGTCCACTGCTCCTCTGCGTGCCCCTTTGCCTTCTCCTCCTGAGTCCTCTCTTTCTGCTCTTCCTGACCCGGAGTCGGACTCTCTTCGTGCTGCCAGTCCTACTGTCACGCGTCTCCTTGCTACTGTTGTCACTGACCCTTCCTTTGAGTCCACTGCTGCGTCTGCCCTAGTTACTGAGCTCGTCGACTTTGCTGCTCGCTGTCGTCTAGACTACGCTGCTAGTCTTGTTGCTGAGTCTGAGTCTGTCTGTCCTCCGTCCGTCGGGGGTGAGTGTGCCCTTGGCACGGACGTCCTTGAGGACAGGCAGGAGGAGTTCCAGTGTTTGACTGCTGCTTCACCTCATCTCGTGTCCGTACTGCTTACCCCTGAGGGAGACCCGGATGCACTTGACATCCCGACTCCGCGCTCTTACGCGGAGGCGATAGAGGGTCCCTACTCCTCTCAGTGGCAGGCAGCTATGGACGCAGAGATGGCTTCCTGGAAGTCCACAGGCACCTACGTTGACGAGGTTCCCCCGCCTGGGGCGAACATCGTCAGTGGCATGTGGATTTTCAGGGTGAAGCGGCCGCCGGGTTCTCCGCCTGTCTTCAAGGCGCGTTACGTGGCTCGTGGCTTCAGTCAGCGGCAGGGAGTTGACTACTTTCAGACCTTCTCTCCCACCCCGAAGATGACCACTCTTCGGGTACTGCTGCACATAGCTGCTCACCGCGACTACGAGCTGCACTCTCTTGACTTCAGCACTGCTTTCTTGCAGGGCAGCCTGCACGAGGAGATCTGGCTGCGTCGCCCACCTGGCTTCACTGGGTCCTTTCCTCCTGGCACCCAGTGGAGCCTCCGGCGGCCAGTCTACGGTCTCCGCCAGGCACCGTGAGTGGCACGACACACTGAGGACTACACTTGCGGCTCTTGGGTTTGCTCCCTCTACTACCGACCCGTCGCTGTTTCTACGCACCGACACTTCTTTGCCGCCGTTCTACATCCTCGTGTACGTCGACGACTTGGTCTTCGCCACAGCTGACACTGCTGGACTCGCCCACGTGAAGTCCGAGCTGCAGAAGAGACACACGTGCACAGACCTGGGTGAACTGCGTAGCTACCTTGGCTTGCAGATCACCCGGGACAGAGCACGCCGCACCATTACCCTGACTCAGTCACACATGGTGCAGCAGGTCCTTCAGCGCTTCGGCTTCACGTACTCCTCGCCTCAGGCCACTCCTCTGCCTACTCGCCACTCGCTCTCAGCTCTGCCTTCGGATGAGTCCGTAGAGTCGAGTGGCCCGTACCCAGAGCTTGTTGGCTGCCTCATGTACCTGATGACCTGCACACGACCTGACCTTGCATACCCTCTTAGCATTCTTGCACGCTATGTTGCTCCTGGGAGACACAGACCGGAGCACATGGCTGCAGCGAAGAGGGTGTTGCGCTACTTGTGCAGTACGTCGGGCATGGGGCTTGTGCTTGGAGGGCAGAGTCCAGTGGTCCTCACTGGGCACGCAGACGCTTCTTGGGCTGACGACCAGGCTACGCAGCGGTCGTCACAGGGTTATACCTTCAGCCTTGGTTCCGGCTCTGTTTCGTGGCGGGCTACCCGCTCGTCTTCTGTTCTCGGCTCCAGTTGTGAGGCTGAGATCTACGCCGGGGCCATGGCTGCACAGGAGCTTCGCTGGCTCACCTACCTGCTGACTGACCTCGGAGAGCCGCCTCGTTCTCCTCCAGTACTGTACGTAGACAACAAGGCCATGCTGGCCTTGTGTCGAGAGCAGAGACTGGAGCACAGAACGAAGCACATTGCTCTCCGCTACTTCCTTGCTCGTGAGCTACAGCAACGTGGTCAGCTGCGGCTTGCGTACGTGGCCTCTCAGGCCAACACTGCTGATATCTTCACCAAGGCGCTTGCGCCTTGTGATCATCAGCGCTTCTGTACTCAGCTGGGTCTTGTGCCTACCTTGCCTCACTTGCTCACCCCTTGACCTTGTTTGTACTGTTGCATATATATATACACCTGCTCTTGCTTGTCTAGCCTTATATATATATATATGTAATCCTGCATGTGAACTGGCCTTGTGGCCTTGAACTTGTGCTCGGAATGTGTGGTGACTTTGTGATCCACCCTGAGCTTGTTTTGCTTTGCTTGACTGGTCTTGTGACCCCTTGTTCTCCCCCACTTTGCCTATGGGGGTGTGTCAGATTTATATGACATAGCTACTGTAGGCTATAGTGGGGTAGCACATATGGGGTACAGTTTTCCTAGGGTTTGCATTTGTACCAAACTTTCCCTTAGTCATTTCATTCCTCGTTTCTTCTCAGTTCAATGAGTACAAAATATGAGCGAAGGCATGAGTGAATACTTATACGCGAAAATGTGCACACGGTAACGCGGTGCGTGCGAGCTAGCTAGTGCTACGCTGACTCGAGGTTCGGGCTAGTCCCGAAGCGTAGGCCGACTCAGCTGCTCCAGCAGTGCGAGGTTTGGTGAAACAGTGCGCACGAAGTTGGCGAAGCCCCGTTAGCAGTAATGGGCGAACAACGGCTGTACGCGATGTGGATGGTCGCGGTAAGGAATAGCGAGAAAATTCATTACATGAGCTCATTCGTGTAATTATGGAAGTTTTGCACTCGAAATGAATGTATGTTCTCGCTGGAATACGCCCCTCCACCAACAGGTCTTCTGCATGAAGCCAACGCCATTCCTATCACTACACCTCCACCCCAACTTGTTCTCTCACTTACAGCTGATGTCTGAGCAATTTGCGGAGAGACACATTCGTGATCCCCACGCAATCAGGCCGCTACTGCCGCTTAGCTTCCAACCCAATTATCCTACTTTGTGGAATCACATTATTACGAAGTCGACAATTCGGTTCGCTTACATCCGCTAATCATGGCAGATGATGGCGCTGGCGAGTGCCACGTGGCGAAATTGCCTCAGGGCCTCCTGTATCTCGTCCTCTCGCGCCTGCCGGGCCGCGACGCTGCGGCGGCCGAATGTGTGCATCCGACGTGGCACGCCACTCTTAACGAATGCGACCTGTGGATCCAGATGGCGAAACGCGATTGGCTGGTGACAGATGAGGAAATTAGAGCCGCTGGATTACAGCAGGCGCCTTCGCCAAGTCAGCCTCAGCGCGAGAATCCGCGACGCGCGGCAAGCGCACGCGGAGAAATCTCAATTGTGCGCTGCTCCTCCGCCGCTCGAGCTTCCGCCAGTAGTGAATCGCCCGGGGTTTCCGCTCCACATGCTAGACCCGCAGAACCGAATCGCGGTGTGGCAAACGCCGAAGCATCTGTCGTTTCCGAGTCAGATCCCGCAAAATCGGCGAGGACGCTTTACGGATCGCATTACTTTTCCTACCGCCGCTACGGATCTCTCTACCCCCGCGCACGCCGCGTCTGGCACGTGCTGCGCACGTGGCTGCGCGCGCATATTCCGGAACTCGACGAGACGCTGCTAGCGGGCGCAACGGAGCAGCAGCTCGACGCGGCGGAAGCGGCGCTCGGGGTGACATTTCCCCCCGCCGTGCGCGCCTTGTATCGCGTATGCGACGGGCAGATGCCGCGTTACGATAAGATGGTGGTGGAGGTGCGCGGGGAGCAGCGGCGGCGGAGGGGGAGGGGGAGGCGCGCGCGCGGTGGGGGTGCGGAGGGGAGGAGGCGCGCGGAACAGGGTAGTGGGGGAGGGGAAGAAGAGGGGGGAACGGATAGAACAATGAGAGAAAATGAAGAGGAGGGGGAGGCGCGAGCGGGGGAGGAAGGAGAGGCGGACAGGGAACGAGGCGGCAGGGAGGAGGAGGACGACGACGAGGAGGGGGAGGGGGAGGCGGAAGCGGAAGAGGAAGAAGAAGAGGAGGAGGATGAGGAGGCGGCAGTGGGGTCGATATTCCACGGGCTGTTGGGCAGCTACAGCTTCTACGACCACTGGGTGAGCACACGCCTGCTGCCGCTGCGCCGCATTGTGGCTGGCACACTCCAGATCCGCACGCGCGTGGCCGCCACACGCCGCACCACGGCGCTGCTCGCACACTCCCGGGGCGGGCGCAGAGCAGGGGCAAGGGGCGGAGCAGCGAGGGGAGCGGGAGGAGCCGGAAGAGGAGCGGGAGGAGCGGGGTTTGGAGGGAACGATTGGCCGGAAACGCAGATTCTAATCGGTGCGTCGTTCAATTACTCGAAGCTGTTCTTTCTGGATTGCGCCACGGGCATGGTGTCCGTGGGGGGCAGTGACGTGCTGCACGCCTGCACGTTCCTCCCGTGCGTGCCGCCCTCCCGCCCGCACACCTGCCCGAATCCGCTGGTTTCGGAGGTCCCCCTCGCAGTAGCAGACGTGGTGCAGCAAGCTTCGTCTCCAGCGTTGCAGGGAGGCGAAGGAGGTAATGGAGCTGGAGCATCAGCTACTGACGCATCACCTGAGGCACCATCAACAGCTCCAGGCAGCAGTGGCGGCGACGGCGGCTGCAGCAGGAGAGGCGGCGGGGATGGCAGCAGTGATGCTGATGGCATGGTGAGGTGGCTGGAGGAGTACTCGTGGAGGCTGGCTAACGGGTGGTACAGGGTACGCACAGTGGTAGATGACATCCCCGCTAGAGGCATCTGCCTGTTTCCTGAGCAGGCTCCTCTGTGCTCTGTGGCTTTCACCAGGGGGGTGTGTGTGCGCGCCTCTGCTCTCTTCGTGCCGGAAGTGGCGCCGCTCGTGCTGCCACGGCCGTCTGCTGCCTCTGACTCCGCCTCTGGTGGTGCTGCTGTTGCTGGTGGTGCTGCTGTTGCTGGTGGTGCTGCTGCTGCTCTTGGTGACGCTTCTTCTGGTGGGTGGGATGAGGAGGCAGAGGCTGCGGGTGACCAGAGGGACGGCAGAGGAGGAACAAGAAGGAGGAGGGGTCAGAGAGGCAGGCGGGTGGTTGGAGCAGGGGGGCAGGCAGAAGAGGAAGACGAGGAAGAGGAAGAGGAGGGGGAAGGGCAGAGGTGCTTCGCGTACTCTGTCCGCATGAAGCTGCTTCCTTTAGACCAGCCGCAGGAGGTGCTTCCGAGTTCCATCCCCCATGTCACCATGCTCCCGTCCTCTTCTACGCACGGTTCCGGTTCCCAGACCCGTGCCCAAGCTGCCTCTGCTGCTGCCTCACACTCCTCAGCATGGGCTGCTCACGCTATGAGCATTGACCACAGCACCGGCCAATTAGAGGGCTCTGCCGGTGACATGTCAGCGTGCCAGCTGCGCTCGCGCCATTGGGTGATCAAGGAGGAAGGGGAGGTGGTGGCGGAGGTGAGGGGGGATGCAGTGGTGGGCGAGTATCCCATCTTGAGGCGCGGAGGCAGTGAGTTTGTGTATCAGAGCTGTTCCCAAATGACTGGCCAGTGGGGGACTATAGAAGGGGATTTTACGTTTGTCCCCGGGGGGCTCATGAGGCCGACCGGAGCGGATTTTGATGCGGCGGTTGCGCCATTCCCCCTGCAAGTGCCCGACTTCGTTTTTTGATTCAGCTGTGCTGCACAGCATATCCTTGTTCATTGGCGGGGAAGAGGAGCTGTGGCCTTGCCATGATTGGTTTTCTGTACCATACCGTAATTGTTTCTTTTGTTTGTACAGTGCAGCCTTCACTTCCCATGAACTGTACGTGCAGTGTGCCTATAAGGAATTTTCCCGAATTCCTTATCGGGGTTGACTGCTTCGCGTACAGCCCCGATTTTCGGACTCTGCACGTTTGGCCGACATCAACGATGCCGAGCCTCCTTGCGTCGCCTTCGGCTTTTCTCTTCGCCAAACCTGCACCCAACCTCACTCACCCGAAGTCCCCTCCTAGCTAGCCTACTCACTATATTAGCGTATGCCTTCATTGTAAAATCAGTACGGTATGATCAATCACCTTCTCGTTATTCGTTAACCTGCGCACTCTCTGTTACAACTCAGGCCGCAAGGTTTGTTAATTCGATAGTTCGTGTTTTCCACTTTGCCTGAAGGCCACGGAGACCCGCTTGCCCACCCGACGCAGTGCTCGACACATGGATCAAGAGGCGGTTAACAGACTTATGGCGCAAGTGGCAGAAATGCAAGAGGGCATGAAGACATTAATGGCGGAAGTGACAACACTACGTGCAGGGCTAACTTTAGTAAAATGACCCGTCTGATGTCAAGACCGGGTCCTGGCTCCTTGTCTGATTGTCAGACGAAAACTGTAACCTTGTCTAGCTTTCCAGACGAATCCTAAATACTTGTCTGAGAAGATATAAAGCTAGCAAGCAATGTACTTTCAAATATGATTAAAACAACCTAGTTATAGCGATGAACAGCTCTAATGGTCCAGTCAGTAGAATATGGAGCAGTGGAAACTGAGGTTTCCTGTTCGAATCTTAAAGTCTGCTTGTTTCGAGAGTTTTGCCTTCAGTCGAAAAATACTCGATATCTGCAATCTCAGACGAACTGTATAAGGCTGTCTGAGAAATCAGATGAATAGAAAAAGCTTCTCTAAAAAAATCAGACGAAATTAAACAGCATGTCTACGGCATCAGATGAACCAGTAAAAATGTGTTCAGAATCCAGAAATTCAGACCAAAAAATTCTGATAAAGTGAGCCCTGACTACGTGGCGAAAACGCCGAGCTACGCCAGGCGCGAGGTGAAGCGCGCCAGGAGTCGCCCGATGACGAAGGCGAGGGCAACAGTCAAGCAGTGAGCAACCCGTTGGACGCGCTCACACGCGACTTCGAAGAAGAGGACAGGCAGCGAGCGGCATCAGCACCAGTTGCAGTAACGACGATCAAGATTAAACCCGTCAACCCGCCCCCGTTTAATCCTACGCACAAGACGACTACAGTAAAAGGGTGGTTGTTTGGATTTGAAGTCTTTTTCACTGCAGCAGGTGTGACCGATGATGTCATGCGTATTAATTATGCCGTGTCCCTTCCTCGAGGCGCAGCGCTTGAGTGTGTCAGAGGTCCACTGGTGATCCCCGATTGATCATAGGGAACGGTTACAGGCATGTTGGCCTGGGGGGTTATGGGCGCACTGACCCGCTACTTAACAAGCTCTTTTATCCCAATGGTCTAGTGGTTGGGATTCTGACATGGTATCAGAGCGAAGGTCTCGGGTTCGAATCCCAGTGTGTGCACTTCGGGCATCCCAGTGCGGGGGGGTGTCAGAGGTCCACTGGTGATCCCCGATTGATCCTAGGGAAGGGTTACAGGCATGTTGGCCTGGGGGGTTATGGGCGCACTGACCCGCTACTTAACAAGCCTTTTTATCGCAATGGTCTAGTGGTTGGGATTCTGACAGAGTGGTGGCGCCGAACCCTAGAAACGAGGACCCCGACAGGTGTGACACATGCGGCAGACAGGACCCCAAAAATGACTAATCAAGTAGCAGAGTCGATCTTCGGAGTGACCAAGATACGCACATGGCGAGAGTGGGGCGCAGCCTTACGAGATCGCTTCGAGCATGTATCTGCCTCGGACAAGCTCGCATGAAGCTGCGTCCCTGGTCGCAGATGGCATCTGTCCAAGACTACACAGCGTCATTTATGGGCCTCGCCGACCAAGTGGATGACATGTCGGAAGCAGAGCGGTTGGATAAATACATAAGCGGCCTAAAATACGAGATTCAATACGAGGTCCGCAGGAGCCGCCCGATAACATTCCTGGAAGCAGTACGGCTGGCGGAGTCAACTGATGCGCTGATGCAGTATGCGAGAACAGCTTACCGTGAGGGAATCCGTTTTCGTGGCCAGACCCATCGGGCCACGATCAACGTCGTCCATACACCCGACCGCCCTCCTAAGGGACCGTGTTATCGGTGTGGGAAGATGGGTCACTTAATGCGCGACTGCCAGGAGAAAACGCCGCTGATGGGGAACGACCGGAAGGAGCAGGGAAATGGGAAAGTCAGTAATTAGCGGGCCCTTTACTGACTGTGCTCCGTCGCCCGAACACCACCATCCCCACCGAGTCGTGGTTCCGATTCATGCAATCGATCGCACTCGGCCGAATAACGGGGATACTCATGTGGCACCCTGTGCTGGTAGCTGGCAAGGTGTTAAAAAATAACTTGAAAATGTTCGTCAATGGAGGGGTCAGCCATAGCCTCTTCAACTTGGCGACAGCAAAAAATTGCAAGCTGCAACTTGACAGGTTTCTGCCCGAAATCGACGCTCGCCTCGTGGATGGGACGCCTCTGGCGATACTAGAAGAAACACGGACGGTTCGGATTGAATGCGGCGACGATTTCGGCTTCAGCATGAAGTTCCTCGCAACAACACTGGATGGCTGCGACGTGCTGTTGGGACGTGCTTGGCTGCGACAGCACAACCCCGTCATCGATTGGACAACGGGATCATGCTGCATCAACGAGCACGAGGGGCTAATTAAGCTGCCTGCATGGACACCTGACTACATCCAAGCCCCGTGCGTCAAAGCTGTCACTATAGCTCGACACTTCAACAAGGGCGCACAGCTGTTCGCTGTTTGCTTACGCGAATTGACGTTTGACACCGACGGAAAAGACATCGAGAAGCTGTGTGCAGCTGTACCACCGGACTTAGCGGAGCTGATTCGACAGTACCCCGACATTTTCCCCGACGATCTGCCACCTGGACTACCACCCGAGCGACCTGAGGACCACAAAATCCAGCTGGAGCCTGGTGCGCAGCCGACTGTTCGGACACAGTGGCGGCTGACCCAGCCGGAACTCGAAGAGTTGCGAAGTCAAATTGATGCACTGTTGGAGAAAGGATTCATCCGAGCCAGTACATCTCCCTTCGCCGCACCGATCCTCTTCACTCCGAAAAAAAGATGGCGGGCTTCGCATGTGCATCGACTGTGTTAGAATATTGACCGAATGAATGACTGAACTAGCAAGCAGGTGGGTACAAGTAGGAAACCTAAAAGTGTTGTACCCTATAAGAACTACCCCACTATAGCCCAGATAGACTATAGCATATATGTTTGACACACCCCCATAGGCAAAGTGGGGGAGAACAAGAGGTCACAAGGCCAGTCAAAAAAGGCAAAGCAAGCTCAGGGTGGATCACAAAGTCACCACGCAGTCTGAGCACAAGCAAATGGCCACAAGGTCAGTTCACATGCAGAGTTATATAAAGGAGAACAAACAATACAGTGAACACAACCTAGCAAGTGTAAGCATGCAAGTATATGTATATAAAGTACAGTACAAGCAGAGTCAAGAAGTAAGCAAGTGAGGCACAATAGGTACAAGGCCTAGGACAGTACAGAAACGCTGACGATCACAAGGCTGAAGTGCCTTGGTGAAAACATTAGCAGTGTTGGCCTGTGAGGCCACGTAAGCAAGACGAAGCTGGCCACGCTGCTGCAACTCTCGAGCAAGGAAGTAGCGCAGAGCAATGTGCTTCGTTCTGTGCTCCAGTCTGTGCTCCTGACACAAGGCAAGCATGGCCTTGTTGTCGACGTACAGAACTGGAGGAGAACGAGGCGCCTCTCCCAAGTCGGTCAGCAGGTAGGTGAGCCAGCGTAACTCCTGTGCAGCCATGGCCCCAGCGTAGATCTCAGCCTCACAACAGGAGCTGAGAACAGAAGACGAGCGGGTAGACCGCAAAGAGACAAAACCGAAGCCAAGGCTGAAGGTGTGACCCTGTGACGACCGCTGCGTAGCCAAGTCGTCAACCCAGGAGGCGTCTGCGTGACCAGTGAGGAAAACTCGAGCCCGTCCTCCAAGCACGAGCCCCATGCCCGACGCACTGCACAAGTAGCGCAACACCCTCTTCGCAGCATCCCAGTGCACCTTTCGGTGCCTACCAGGAGCCACGTGGCGAGCCAGAAGGCTGAGAGGGTATGCGAGGTCAGGTCGTGTGCAAGTCATCAGGTACATGAGGCAGCCCAAAAGCTCTAGATATGGGCCACTCGGCTCTACGGACTCGTCCGAAGGTGGAGCTGAGAGTGAGTGACCGGTAGGCAGAGGAGTGGACTGTGGCGAGGAGTACGTGAAGCCGAAGCGTTGAAGGAACTGCTGCACCATGTGTGACTGAGTCAAGGTAATGGTGCGCTGTGCTCTGTCCCGGGTTATCCGCAAGCCAAGATAGCTTGTGAGCTCACCTAGGTCTGTGCACGTGTGTCTCTTCTGCAGCTCTGACTTCACGTGGGCGAGTGCCTCAGTGTCAGCAGTAGCAAAGACCAAGTCGTCTACGTACACGAGAACGTAGAACGGCGGCAGAGTGGTGTCAGTGCGTAAAAACAGCGACGCGTCAGTAGTGGAAGGAGCAAAACCAAGAGCAGCAAGATTCGTCCTCAGTGTGTCGTACCACTCACGGGGTGCCTGGCGGAGACCGTAGACTGGCCGCCGGAGGCTCCACTGGGTACCAGCAGGAAACGACCCAGTGAAGCCAGGTGGTCGGCGCAGCCAGATCTCCTCGTCCAGGCTGCCCTGTAGGAAGGCTGTGCTGAAGTCAAGCGAGTGGAGCTCGTAGTCACGCTGAGCGGCGACGTGCAGCAGTACCCGAAGAGTGGTCATCTT